TGTTGATAAGGAACCAAGTTTGAACTGTCACTGGTCATGGGGGCCACACCAGGGGTCACGTTCTGCATCAGGTCCCCTGAGTTCCTTTTGATTAAGTCACCTCACCTAAAAGTAAGGGGATAACTGTCTGAACTACACATCTTTTGCAGTATCTTAGAGGACCGTTTGGACATTTGTGACACTTTGCTTTCTCCCTCCTTAAGGCAGTGGAGAGTATCTTAGGGCCAAGCCAGACAGACAGTCAAAAATCTCATTAACCTTTAAATGCTTCAGATGAAGACACTGTCCTAAATTTGTGATTATTCACTCTAAATTAGTTTTACATTTTTTGCTCTGTGTGTGTGTGTGTGTGTGTGAGTATACATTATATACAGTAGATCAGTGGTTCCCAACCCTGGTCCTGGAGGCACCCCAACACTGCACGTTTTGCATGTCTCCTTAATCAAACACACCTGATTCAGGTCATCAGCATCATCTAGAGACTTCTAGACCTGAAATTGGTGCGTCAGAGAAAGGAGACATGCAAAATGTGCAGTGTTGGGGTGCCGCCAGGACCAGGGTTGGGAACCACTGATATAGATGAATGTATTGGGACACACACCTCAGTTATTGAATTCAGGTGTTTCAATCAGACCCATTGTCATAGGTGTATAAAATCAAGTACTTAGGCATGCAGGCTGCAATTTACAAACATTTGTGAAAAAGTGGGTTGTTCCGAAGAGCTGTTTGAATTTAAGCATGATACTGTGATAGGGTGCCACCTGTCACAATAACAGAAGAGAATGATACAATGGTAATGCAAATAACAGTATTTATAAGCAGTTCCAGATAGCGGGGATGCAAGCAGGTGAGAAGGTACTTTATAGAATAACATGGAACTTAACTGAATATTAAAGAGTCCTTATGTTTTACAGGTAATGGCTGGTGTGGCTGAAGAACAGACTGAAGACTGGGGCTGAAGACAGGCTGTACACAGGTAAGTATCCAAGGTGAGTAGATGGGTAAGTCCTTCTGTATGAAACAACATTGGTAAACAGTTCTTAGGCAAAGATGATAAAACAGTCCTAGCGATGAGACCAGACAATGAATGAGCATGTGATGCTTGCTTATACAGGGACACTGATGAGGTTGATGGCAAACATGTGTGAAGATTGACGCATGGAGCGTAAAAGTTGCCAATGCTCAGCTGATTCCATAGAAGAATTCCAGACTTCCACTGGCATTAAAGGGTTAGTTCACCCAAAAATGAAAATTCTGCCATTAATTACTCACCCTAATGTCGTTCCACACTCCTAAGACCTTCGTTCATCTTCAGAACACAAATTAAGAGGTTGTTGAATAAAGTCGTTATTTTTGTTTAGTTTTTGTGCACAAAAAGTATTCTCGTCGCTTCATAAAATTATTGTAGAACCACTGTAGTCAGGTCGACTGTTTTAACGACGTCTTTAGTACCTTTATGGATCTTGAGAGTTTGGGTGGCATTGCTGTCAATGGAGGCCTCTCTGAGCCATCGCATTTGATCAAAAATATCTTAATTTGTGTTCTGAAGATGAACGAAGGTCTTAGGGGTGTGGAACGACATGAGGGTGAGTAATTAATGACAGAATTTTCAATTTTGGGTAAACTAACCCTTTAATGTCAGTTCAAAAACTGTGCGGCAGGATCTTCAGTCCACAACTCAGCAGCTGCCTGCATCAGGTGAAATAGTGTAAAGCACGCCAACACTATGACTCAGTGGAAACGTGTTAGGTGGAGTGACTACTTGACAGTCTGATAGGTGAGTCTAGGTTTGGCAGATGCCAGGAGAATGTTAACTGCCTGACTGCCAGTGTTGGGGAAGCTACTCTTAAACTGTAGCTTGATAAGCTACAAGCTACTCATATGTTAAAGTAGTTAAGTTACAGTCAAGCTACCCTACATTGAAACTTTTTTTTCACAACGACGTATATTACAAATAACTGTATAAGCGTTCATGAGGAATGTTTTAAGTAAAATATTTGATATTTAAAACAACAATGCTATACAATTATGATGTCAAAGACTATTGTTTTTTTACATACAATATTCAATTATCTCAGACTGTCAAAAGTCAAAGTGCAAAAGTGCAACAAATTTAGCATTGCAATAACAAAATGTTATTTTTTATTTAAGTAACTTAAATTAAGCACACAGAAGTATTTTCTCAAAAATAATGTGACAGATGCCTGCATTATGATAAGAAATTATATTGAATTCTGAACATCTCACATGTGACTCTGACAAGGAAAGTACTGTGGTTTGAGGAAAAATTGTGATTTAAAATTGTGTTTGTTTTGTTCATTTCTTTTTAAAAAAAATCTAATAATGAGATAAAAATCAATGATAAGATAACAATACTAATTTTATTTGTTTTCCAAAAAAACTGCAGGGTTACTAGTTGGCATACAGGCAGCCTATAACTGTACATCATATGATACTGTTATGATAAAAATCTTTGATGGTAAATATTCATTTTTATAAGGAAGTATGTCAAATAAAATAAAATAAATTAGGCTATGAGACTTGTATGCATCCATTGTGGGGGGAATAACAACTCCTGTGTACACTGGAGAAAAATATGGATTATCATATGTTCACTTCAGATTTCTTTAGAGAGAAGAATATTTTTCCTACTGAGTGCACATTAATGAGCCCTAAATACATGTGATGTTTCATTCATACTGGCAGCCGGAGGGCACCCTCGCACGGAAACTCCAAATATGCCTCACAGAGGTAATAGAACACATGATATATTCATTGTAAAGTGTATGTATTTATGTATCGTTTATAAAATATGTTCCGCCTAATTTTATTTTTGTATTATTTTGCGTGTGTGTGTGTATAAATATGTATGTATTTGATATGTGTTCTTCAAACCATCTTTGGTATTTTAATAATAATAAAGACATTTTAGAATCCATTGCTAATCGAAATAGCCTTTATTACAGTATAGAATATAATTTCTGCCTCATTCTGTGATAAGAAGCCACATCTGATTGAAAATTAAGTTATTTAAAACTCTTGACTGATGTTGTGGTGTCAAATTATGCTATTAAATGTTTATTTTTTTGATAGACATCAGGGCCCATATTCACAAAACATCTTATGGCTAAAAGTAGCTCATAACTTGTCGATTTAGGAGAAAATCTTAAAAATAATGGGCATGTCAGTCCTAAATTTAGGACTCCTAAATTTTTGTTCTAAGAGTATTTCACAAAGCATTTTAGCGCTAAAACTAGCTCCTAAATCTGTGAAACGTTAGGAGTAGTGAAGAGGACTCCTAAGTCACTAAGACCAAATCTGAACTATCCTAAAATGGCTGTTGCCAGCAATCGACCTCGGAATATAAACATTTTATAAACATTTGATGATAATGAGCTTTTAAAAAGGTATCAGTTTTGGTTTGGAGGTTATCCCAACTCCAAATGTTTGATTATATCCTTAATATATGTTCTCGCATCCAGTTTGGTTTTCTTTTGTTTGCATGTCTTACTATCAGCCATGATTATTCTACTCTGCTAATTAAAAGGCTGTTTATATGCATATTACCAAAATTGTATTAGTCGCTTAGTCGCAGAAAAATAAAAAAATCCACATGAAGTGGCGAATTCATGCAGTCCATGATGGACAAATCGTTAACAGCTGGTCTATGTGGTAATACAGTAGGCCTACATCGGGCAGGACATCCATTTGCTTTCTTAACATTCATTGACCTCAAATATGGCTTATCGTCCGAAATATTTATGTAGTAGCAACTTTCCATGGCAGCTCGATCTAATGTTAGCCTAGAAAAAAGTGCGCAATTCACATGTTTATGCGGAGTGTGGAAGCTGAACATTAGCGCGCTTGGGCTACTGCATGACAGATGGAGGCGCCGGTGCGATCATTTGCTCTTAAAATACTTTGTCATTTTTGGTCATACAGATAAGAGAAATGCATCTTTTGTATCTGTAAAAACTCTATGTTTATTCGTGTGCACTCAGAATAACAACAAAATGTAGCGCTTTTGTTAAATAATGAAAGCAAACAGGATGCGCTTTCTGCCGTCTCGGACTGAACTTGAGTGCGTCACTTCGAAACTCCGTGTATGCTTGCCTTATTACAGACATGAAAAATATATCTATAGAGATTTAGATGCATCTTCACATGGAAATGAAGTTTCTTTGGCATTCTGTGGACGTAAGGAGACCAGAGATTAAAATGTCTGTAAGGAATTTTAGTCTCTCTGTTCTTGTCGTGAAGTGGGGGAAGTCAATTTACGAGGAGCTTGTGACTGTAGTTACTATCGTGTGATAGTCATGCGGTCATCTCTTTTGACCATTATTCTTGATAACTTGCCCCAAAATTTTACAATCTCCTTGGACTTGTCAATGTGTTCTTTTGTGTTAATGTTGAAAACTGTTCTGTGACAGGGGCTTAGGTTTAGGCTTGCTTCAGAGAGGCTGGGGTCTGATTTATGACATCCTGTTGTCTTGGGCCTCTGTGGAATTTTTGTGACTCCTCGTGCCTCAACTCGGTTTTGACCAAATCTTAGATTGTCTGATTCGGTCTGATATCCTACAATAGAAAACAAATATTCTCAGATTATGTAATCCGTATGAAACCTGCAGGCACATACTGCGGAGATGACGAGTCTGTGTCGCCAACTTCATGTCTTAAACCAAAAACAGAAAGTGTAACTGGTGTGAATAATTTATTGACTTAATTTAATTAGCTTTCTTTTCTTTCCCATATTGTATTATTATTATTTATATGCTGTTTATACTGTTATAAATTCTATGTGTTTCATAATAAGAGTGGGTTAATGAACTCCACAAAATTCTGTTCCTCTACTATTGTTTTCAAGTTAAAAGAATATAACGTTAAAGTCGTGTAACTTTTCTTTGGGATTTTGTCTGGGAGGGAATGATATCAGTGGAAAACATCCGGGGTTTCCCCGCGTGCAACATGCCATGAGATAGCCACAGTCTACCTGTGTGAGGCTGATGAGCACATGTACTACTAGGTTCTCCCCGTGAATGACTCTGTGTGTCAGAGAGGGAGAAGCTGTCGCCTGTTGATCCACTGATTATTTCTCCTTGTTACAGATTGAGTAAAAGAAAGTGCTGAATCTCATCAACGAGTGGTCGTGTGGTTTCTATGTGTGTGAGGGTAACCGGTCCAGACATGCTACAAAAGCACTAGTGTAACAATAAATTATTAAAACGTTACTGCAGTGTACTTGCTGTTTTTCCCTAACACATTCATAATTATTATATTTACCGGTGTGCTGTGGCAAGCCTTTTTTGTGTGCGCTTGAGCGCTAATTAGGCTATGTAGGCAATCAATTAAAGGCTCATTATTATGATTTATATGGTTTATTAATAAAAGTGCGACTAATAGTCGACTAATGCTTAAAATGGGACGACTACTAGTTGACCAGAAAAATCTTTAGTCGAGGGCAGCCCTAATGCATATTGACTAATTGTTTACGAGAAGCATAGGCTACATAAGAGGCTGACAATTAGCTGAATATATAGCCTACTTGTTTAATTAGTGACACTTAGCCTGCATTTTAAAATCTTTATTTGAATGTGGCAATTAACATTTTTATTTTAAAACTTTGATTTTAATATGGCAACATTATATTGCGCTCTACAATATTTATATGAATACATCTCTGAAAGAGACTATCAGCCAATCACTGTGTGCATAGTTAGTAGGTATGCTGACATCATCCATAGCAACAAAGTCAACCCCGCCCTTACTCTTAGTTTAAGACTTCTGTCTATTCCTTTGTCAAAGTTTGTCTCAGCAGCTTTGTGAATAGGTTTTAAGAGAAAACTCTTAGCTAAAAACTTTTACTGCTATTTAGGAGAACTCTTAGTGGTAAGATAAAATGTTTTGTCAATACGGGCCCAGTTTTATAAATGTTTTTTTCATTAAAGCCCCCGATATACTTCAAGTGAAATCAAAGAACAAACTGATGTGACATCAATTCGAACAAAATCCAGCCAAAACAAAGTTTGTTTTGTGTTCATTTTGGGAGTTTGAACTCACAAGTTGCTTTTTTCAGTGACTCACAGCGCTTGCAGAGATGAGCAGCATTTACTACTGATGCTGCATGATATACAGTAACAATAGATGGTGGTCATTTTAGTATCTTGTAAGAAGACACTGTGCTGCTTCAGACTATTGCAGATTCACAAAATAGAATGTAGCTATTGTCCTGCTACACTGCTATTTGCTGAAAAAAGTAGTTGGCTACTGTCAAGCTACTGAAAAATGTAATTATATTAGTAGCATTGCTACCTGTAGCTAGCTACTTCCCGACACTGCTGACTGCATTGTGCCTTCTGTAAAGTTAGGTGCAAAAGCTATAATGATTATGGGGCTGTTTTGGGGGTTTGGCAATGCCCCTTACTTCCAGTGAAGGGAAATTTTAATGCTTCACCATAACAAGACACCAATACATTTTTGACAGTGCTTTGCCACCATCTTTGTAGGATCAGTTTGGAGAAAGCCCTTTTCTGTTTAAGCATGGCTGTGTGCCAGTGCACAAAGCAAGGTCCATAAAGACATGGTTGGATGAGTTTGGTGTGGAAGAACTTGACTGGCCTGCACAGAGCCCTGACCTCAACCCCCTCAAACATCTTTGGGATTAATTGAAACGGAGATTGCAAAACAGGCCTTCTAATCCAAATTCAGTGGATGACGCCACAAATTATATACTGGATGAAGGGGCAAAAATTCCGACAGAAAAATTTCAAATCTTGTGGAAAGTGATTTAAAAACACATTTGCTGATAGAGCCATGCTATTTTAACTTACTTGGGTTTGAACTGTTTGTCGAACCATAGTTTAGTGGGATTCGTACTGGAGTTCTTCACCTCTCAAGTGCAACACGGTATCATGTGAGCTACTGTCACGATTCGCTACTGTGAGGAGCACGGAGCGAGGAACTAGGAGACGTGGAGTAAACTTCAAACAAACAGACTTTAATTAACAGCCAATGGAACCAGGAACACATACACAGCGGGGATAGATGAACATTCAATACCAGACAAACTCAGAAAGCTCAGACAGGACCTTAAATACATGGGGTAATTGACAACACACACCTGGAACTAATGAAACAATTAACATGGGAAAACTGGGTCATGGAGCACGTGGAGAGGGAAAAACACACAGAATGATTCAAGGGGTGTGACAGCTACTGAGCAAGCCTACTGAATTGAAAACCCATACATATAAAGCTGTATATTAAATTAAATTAAATTCAAGTTTGTTTGTAGAGTGCTTTTCACGATGCAAATCGTTGCAAAGCAACTTTACAGAAAATTAAGTTTCTACAATATATTTAGTAGTAGCTTATCGTTGGTGACTGTCAGTTAATGTACATATGGCAGAAATGTACGGAAAAATCAATTAAAGACGTGATCAAACAGACGATGAACACTATTAACAGCAATTATTATATGATGCAATCAAACTTATAGCAAAATTTGGTAGGTCTGTATGTTGTTTCAGGGTTGGCATCATCTGAGGTCCTCTGAGGGGTTGGCATCATCTCTTCTCAGGTGTTCTAGATCCAGACTGAAGCTTGTGTAAATCCTAGTTACCACGGGATGTGAATCCCGTGAAAGAGAAACAAATAGAGACATGATTAGCGTAGCTGCTGTTCCAACCAAACACAATTGATTTGTTTAACCCAAGCTAAAGAATAATAATGTGCATTTGATCAGATATAACTGCAGGGCACGATCATGGGATGCATTATTTTAATGCTTAGCCAAAGAGATGTGTATTTAATCTAGATTTAAACAGAGAGAGTGTGTCTGAACCCCGAACGTTATCAGGAAGGTTATTCCAGAGTTTGGGAGCCAAATGGGAAAAAGCTCTACCTCCTTTAGTGGGCTTTGCTATCCTGGGTACTACCAAAAGTCCAGAGTTTTGCGACCTTAGGGGGCGTGATGGATTGTAGCGTGGTAGAAGACTAGTTATGTATGCAGGAGCTAACCCATTAAGGGCCTTATAGGTAAGTAATACTATTTTGTAACTGATACGGAACTTAATAGGTAGCCAGTGCAGAGACTGTAAAATTGGGGTAATATGATAATATTTTTTATGGAACCAGGAACACATACACAGCGGGGATAGATGAACATTCAATACCAGACAAACTCAGAAAGCTCAGACAGGACCTTAAATACATGGGGTAATTGACAACACACACCTGGAACTAATGAAACAATTAACATGGGAAAACTGGGTCATGGAGCACGTGGAGAGGGAAAAACACACAGAATGATTCAAGGGGTGTGACAGCTACTGAGCAAGCCTACTGAATTGAAAACCCATACATATAAAGCTGTATATTAAATTAAATTAAATTCAAGTTTGTTTGTAGAGTGCTTTTCACGATGCAAATCGTTGCAAAGCAACTTTACAGAAAATTAAGTTTCTACAATATATTTAGTAGTAGCTTATCGTTGGTGACTGTCAGTTAATGTACATATGGCAGAAATGTACGGAAAAATCAATTAAAGACGTGATCAAACAGACGATGAACACTATTAACAGCAATTATTATATGATGCAATCAAACTTATAGCAAAATTTGGTAGATCTGTATGTTGTTTCAGGGTTGGCATCATCTGAGGTCCTCTGAGGGGTTGGCATCATCTCTTCTCAGGTGTTCTAGATCCAGACTGAAGCTTGTGTAAATCCTAGTTACCACGGGATGTGAATCCCGTGAAAGAGAAACAAATAGAGACATGATTAGCGTAGCTGCTGTTCCAACCAAACACAATTGATTTGTTTAACCCAAGCTAAAGAATAATAATGTGCATTTGATCAGATATAACTGCAGGGCACGATCATGGGATGCATTATTTTAATGCTTAGCCAAAGAGATGTGTATTTAATCTAGATTTAAACAGAGAGAGTGTGTCTGAACCCCGAACGTTATCAGGAAGGTTATTCCAGAGTTTGGGAGCCAAATGGGAAAAAGCTCTACCTCCTTTAGTGGGCTTTGCTATCCTGGGTACTACCAAAAGTCCAGAGTTTTGCGACCTTAGGGGGCGTGATGGATTGTAGCGTGGTAGAAGACTAGTTATGTATGCAGGAGCTAACCCATTAAGGGCCTTATAGGTAAGTAATACTATTTTGTAACTGATACGGAACTTAATAGGTAGCCAGTGCAGAGACTGTAAAATTGGGGTAATATGATAATATTTTTTTGACCTGGTAAGGACTCTAGCCACTGCATTTTGGACTACCTGTAGCTTGTTTATTGAAGATGCAGAACAACCACCTAGCACTGCATCACAATAGTCCAGTCTAGAGGTCATGAATGCATGGACTAGCTTTTCTGCATCAGAAACAAGTAACATGTTTCGTTGCTTGGCAGTGTTTCTAAGATGGAAGAATGCTGTTTTTGTAACATAGGAAATATGATTTTGATGTGTATTTAATCTAGATTTAAACAGAGAGAGTGTGTCTGAACCCCGAACGTTATCAGGAAGGTTATTCCAGAGTTTGGGAGCCAAATGGGAAAAAGCTCTACCTCCTTTAGTGGGCTTTGCTATCCTGGGTACTACCAAAAGTCCAGAGTTTTGCGACCTTAGGGGGCGTGATGGATTGTAGCGTGGTAGAAGACTAGTTATGTATGCAGGAGCTAACCCATTAAGGGCCTTATAGGTAAGTAATACTATTTTGTAACTGATACGGAACTTAATAGGTAGCCAGTGCAGAGACTGTAAAATTGGGGTAATATGATAATATTTTTTTGACCTGGTAAGGACTCTAGCCACTGCATTTTGGACTACCTGTAGCTTGTTTATTGAAGATGCAGAACAACCACCTAGCACTGCATCACAATAGTCCAGTCTAGAGGTCATGAATGCATGGACTAGCTTTTCTGCATCAGAAACAAGTAACATGTTTCGTTGCTTGGCAGTGTTTCTAAGATGGAAGAATGCTGTTTTTGTAACATAGGAAATATGATTTTCAAAAGACAAGTTGCTGTCTAATATAAGGAAGTAACAGTACATCTGTCTAGTTGCAAATTGTAATCCAAGAGATTCCGTCTACTGTTTTTTGGTCCAATAAGTGATATATCTGTCTTTAATAGGAATTTAATAGGAGAAAATTATTGGTCATCCAATGTTTTACATTTTTAACACACTCTGTTAGCTTAGATAATTTAGAAGTTTCATCTGGTCTTGTTGAGATATATAGTTGAGTATCATCAGCATAACAGTGAA